GTAGGTACAGCAGTAACCCTAACCCCACCCACCCGCTGGTTTTGCTTGCTCAGGTTTCTTGGGTCACTACTATCCAGGGAGAAAACAAGTAAATGCGCCTCCAGAGGAGGGGTTGGGGGAACTGGGAGCGGAGGGGACGTCGGAAGGTGAGGTTGGGAAGGTGGCCAAGTGCCCCTGCTGCTGGGGCCCTTCTCAGTACTCCCTCAGGGCCTCAGTCCCAGCCCTGTTTGCCCCCACCCTACCCCCTTTTCGAAGCGATTGCTTTTTTTTCCTCTGCTGCGGCGGAAATGACAGTGTGGTGCTGCCTTGGTGTCATGGTGCTGCCCCTGGATTGAGGTGGTGAAAACTCTTAAGTTTGGCTCCGGAGCATCGCAACCGCCTTGCTGTCCCTGGCGGGGCGCGCAGGAGGGCGGATCCCAGCAGCTGCGCGGCGGCAGCGGCGAAGACGAAGGCGGGCGGCGGCCTAGAGAGGCGGCGGTAGCGGTGGCGGCGGCGGCGGCGGCGGCCCGGGAGCTCTCGCAGCAGCCAGAGCCAGAGGCAGCTCGCGGCGGAAGCAGGCGAGCGCCCTGCGCTCTAGGGCGCGCTCAGGAGATGGCAGGCACGCGGAAACGCTCTGGGTAAAATGCGCCCCTTCTCCACGGTCCTCGGGGGGCCGAGCGCCCCCGCTCGCGCGCCACAGCTCTGGCTGCCTCTCAGGTGTCGCCGGGCCCGGCGCGGGCCAAAGGCTCCCGGGCTCGGCGGGGCTGGGCGATGGGGCCCGCGAGGCTCGAGGCGGCGGCAGGGGCGCCGGGCCAGCTCTGGTATCCCTTTGCGCTGTTGGGCCCCGGGTGCTAGTCACTGCTGCCCTCCTGGAACGGAGTTTGCTCTCCGGGGTGCGGGCGGGGGCGGTCCGAGGCCTCCCGCGCAGCCGGCCGGGCCTGGCGCGGCCAGTAGAGCGGCTCCTTCCCACGAGCGCCTTCCCACGCTCCGGTGGCCGGCAGCCTCCTCAGCCTGGCCGGCGCCCCTAGACCGGCAGTCTGCCGGGGGTGGCTGCTGTGGCAGCCAGAGATGCCGTGGACACCCTGCAGGCAAGGAGGCCCAGCGAAACTTAATTTCTTTTTTTGCCAGGGGAGTGATCCTCAAGTCTCTGGGTGGTTCCTTATTTCTGGCCTAGCTCTGAGACCAGCTCAGCGGGGGACAGGGGAAACTTACATATGTACACTCGACAGACTGTGACTGACTCTGGGAGAGATGGTGTTTTTCCATTTCTGGCTTGTAAGAATTAAGTAAATAACTGTGGAGTAACATTTACAAAAACGTTTCGGTGATGATAAGGTTTAGGTTACTTAGCACTTTGTGTGTAGCACATTATTTCTCGGAGGTTTTCCTCAGAGCAGTAATTTGGAATCCTGGGGTCCTTGTGTTCTTCACTGTTGCTCTCTCACACTTCCCAACCCACCTTCACACTCACCTTCCTTCTTATCACACATCTTCCTTCTTCCACCTTATCACACATCTACCTGCCTACCTAAATCTCCCACCAGAACCTACCCATCCCACACACCCTTCCACCCTGTGTACTCCCAGCTTCCCAGCTATGCAGTCTCTTGCTCCTCAACCAGTTTGCCTTTTTCAGGATTTCTGAGTGTGGGGAATGTGTTGAGTGATGGTTGTGTGTCTCTGAGGAGGAACCCTTATAAAAGAATATATTAGAGACTACGTAAATAGACAAATACTGCGGGAGAGTTGATTCCTCTGATTCCCAGGTTGGGCCATAAGGGTTACCTTTAACCCCATCCTTTTGCCTCCCAGTACTCTAATCAGTTATCTGGTCATGTTCCAATAGAAGGGAAATGCTGAAGAGAGAGAGTCTCTTCCCTACTTCCCACTCTACCCCTAACCCTCACATCCTTCCAACCCTCTCCACTCATCATGCCCTGAGGGGGAACCAGTCTACTATTTTTATATATTCCTGCCCAATCAATTAAGTTAATATACTAGTAGATGTATAATGTGAATTATGTTTTTCTGATTGTTCCTTACAACTAGATTTATGTGGTTGAAATATGGGTTTAGGGGCCCAGACGATCAGAGAGTTCATCCCAAATCTGATATTGCATTATCTCTATGGCCTTAGGACATTCTTCTGACCTTTCTTTCATAGTTGATGCAGTTGTATAAAAGGCATAATATTGTGTACTAGGTATTGTGAGCTTTCTCTTGGCCTTTGGAAGATGGAAGGGTTCTATACAACCTCAGCATTACACTTTTCAAAGAAAGTGCTTCATTAACCTTTTTATTGGTATAATAGATTGACTGGAAACCTAGTTTCTGGAAACCTTAACTTGCCATTATTAGCCCCCCTGGAGCCAAATCTATCACCATACTTTGGCCCTAAGTCTGTTTTTCCCCCCTAATGCACAAACAACTGAATGAAACATACATAAAACTAGATATACAGAGTAATGGTGATTATTTTAAGTAGAGGCTTAAATCATATCTAATGTACTGCAACCTAACAATCTGAGTCAGGCTGATCTGAAAACATAACCTCACCCATTTTTTTTTTTTTTTGCCTTTATGGGGCAGTCAGTTAATTTCTGAAAAGTTGCATAAATAATTTTAGGTATGGCTATATAAGCATGATTAGGATCTAGTAGAGTTGAGTCAATAATATTTATTAAGTGCCTACAATGTGAAGAGACCTCTGCTGACTGGGCGGAGGCCCCAGCCTTGGCCTAGTATTTTGGCCTCCTGCTTGTTTGAGGCCTACCTCTTTACTTGCAGCTCCAGGATCAGGACAGGGAGGGGCTGTGAGGGGTAGGGTAGAGGCTATGAAGAGGCAATTGTTTCTCTGGTTTACTTTCCTGACTACTAGACTTCTCATCTTGCATGTTGTGCCTTGCATGGCCACCCCCTGGGAAGTACTGCCACAAATCAGAGTGACTTGATTGCTATACAAATGTATCATCTGAACAGTGCAAAATGATTTAGATGAAGTTGGTTTAGTTAATCCCTTCTCTTTAAGTGCAGGACAACCTGCTCCAACTTGCAGATTCTAAAGCAGTGCCAGTGAGGTCTCATAATTGCATCTAAAAATTGCTCTGGGTAGTCAGCCTATCCAATCCCTCCCCTCTCCTCCCATAAAATCTGCTGACACCATGACAGTTGAGAAGGAAACTGCTGGAGGAGTATGTCTTTACCATTCACCAAACCTCATTGGCTTGGTGAAGAGGTGAGAATGTCTTTTTTTACTATATTCCTTGGCACTCAGGTTCTCTCTTTTCCAACTGGGACACAGCTCCTTAAAAAGCAGGTAAAGACAGGGCTGAGTCACAGAATGTGTCTCAAATGGCTTTTCTAAGAGGTACCTGCTTGGCCTCAGGTGTGTCTGTCACTCAGTCTTTATGGATTTTGGTAACTCCCTAGGTATTAGGCAATGGGATTTGGGTGCTAGTGGAGGCCAGTGGTGCTGCATTTCCACTTAGCACTAAGATTTTGTCTTCTCTGCAAAGGAGAATATGAGGCAGTGTGTTTGCAAAATAACTCCGTACTTAAGCTGAATATCTTGACTTAGAGCCTTGCATCATCAAAATATGACATGTAACATATTGATACTGGACATATGATATATCAGGAAAGCTCACAGTTTTTCACTTTTTGATGATTAAAAGTTTGGGACCAAGGCGTTATTGCACTAAGATCTGTATTTCCAGTTTCTCAAAAAGCATTGAATTAATCACTGAGCAAGGTGGAAAAAAGACTAGAAAAGTGTTTCTCAGCCATTGTATTGAATAATGCTAACAAGTTTCCCTATTAGCTATGAGGCCTTGGGCAAATTCCTTAACTTCTCTGAGCCTCAGATTCCTCACCTATAAATAATAATAGTATCTACCTTTTTTTCCAGCTTGTTGAATTTCTTTATTTTTTTCTTTTTATTGAACTTATTGGAGTGACACTAGTTAACAAAATTATACAGGTTTCAGGTGCACAATTCTACAACACATCATCTGTACACTGTATGGTATTTTCTTCACCCTAAATCAAGTCTCCATCCATCACCATTTATCCCATTTATACTCTCCTCTACCTCTTCTCACCCTCTACTCCCTGAGACTAGACATTTATATCCAGTTATCTCCCTGTGCAGGCTGCTAGTCCACTTTTTATTTTTTCTCTTTCCCAAGAATCAACATATATTTCTTTCTTCATTTTTCTTGAAGTAAAAGTCTGTTGAATGTCTTCTGTGAGCACTGGAGGTCTGTGGCTATTTCTACTGTTTGTCGTTTTTCATCTTCCCATTCTCCATGGCCATAGGCAGACACCATCTTTTCAAAAGTCAATCTCCCAGCTTCTTCATTTTTCCTTAGAAATCCTATAAGCTTCTAAAACTACCATATGTTTAAAATATGGAAGGTGGAGGGATTTTGAATAATGTGCCAACATCCCACCACTCCCTTCTCCATGTGGGGTTTACCTGAATGCACACTAGGGTGTTGGTTCAACCTAAATGGGTTAGTGAAATAACCTTAGTAAGGCTTGTCCTGCTTGGGTTCCTGTCTCTCTGCAGAGCTCTGACTACCTGACCTTGGGCTTTGTCTCAGCCTCTTTCCTGCAGGTCAGACTCCTATAGTTGATGAATGGAACAGTGTCCCCAGTCTCTGGATCTTCCTCTTACAGAGACCAAATGATCAGATAACAAACTCATTATACAATGTAAAATCCTCCTGTAACAGAAAATACCATTATTTACAATTTGCTGGGTTAATGTGTGGGCATGAAAGATAATGCTAATGCAGGACAGTGAAATATCTGAATGTATACAGCCCAGAGATAGAGAAATGGTTTATGGTCCAGAATCTTCGATTCTTTTGTCTGTAGCCCTTTGTTCAGTGTTGCTAGGATTCATGTGGTTCCTAGGGGAGTAGAAGTTTCATTTCAAATAGGCTTTTGTTCTCTGTCCCTTGTTTCTGTACTGAACTTGGGGTCCTCTCAGCCTAACATTCAATAGCATGCCCTAT